TAGTTCCCTAGGACAGAAAAGTTTAACACTAGCCAGAAATCCTATATGTGGAAGGACAAGAAAAACAAGGCAAGTTAAGAATGTATCACCACCTTTTCCTTTAAACAGTGTGCTCAGATATTCAGGACCATTTATTTATTCCATATGAGTTTGGATGAGATAAAACTCACCTTGGGAATGTGGCCGCAGAAATGGCCTTGGAATGTCCATATATGTCAGGGGCCCCTGCACTGGCTTGTTGAGCTCCTTGTTGACAGCAATGAAAGCTGTGAAGGAGCTTATGACTCCAGACTCAAGGCTGATGTTCAATACCTCGCTTTTATGACTTGCTGGAGTCTCTGTGAGGCCCATGTCCTTGGTCTGGATAAAGGACTTGGCAGCAAGGCGGTGAATGGTGAGGCTGAAAGAAAAAAAAAATTCCTGAACCTAAAGGAAAATCATCCACATGCCAGTTGCTCTGAGCTCTTAAAAGTTAGGAATAGCAGAGGGATGAAAAAGTCAGATAAGAAGAGATAAGACTTGGGTGGCTTAGAAATAAAAAGTGATTGTAGGGAAACATTGAGCCCAAATCCAACCTCCAAGGATGGCAGGAGAGGGGGAGGGGAGACAGAAAGAGAGAGAGAGAGAAAGGAACAGGGAGAAGAGAGGAAGGGGAAAAGGGTGGGATGGAAGAAAATAGCAAAAGAAAACAGAATTCTCACTTGGCATCAGGCTTGGGTTGCAGAGAAAATGTCACCTTATCCTCAAAACTCTTGCCCTGCAATGCATACTTGAGGCATACTTTTCCTGTTGTCTCTGCTGGCTACAAATTAGAGAAAAGTAAAAGTGATGGAAGGAAGAAATCTCCAAGAAAATGATTAGAACAGGGGCAGCTCCCTAAGACAATACATTAAAATATCAGACTAAGAATCAGGTAGCCCAGGAAACCAGAGCCCCAGATGATGAGGAAGGGTGTAGGCTGGCTCTACCTACAAGCGCAATCTCTTCCTGTCATCCAAATCCACCCACCAGCTTTAAAGACATTGTCAGCACAGTATGGTAGCTATTCCAACTAAAGGAAGGAAAAAGAATGGGAACTCACTGGCATCACCCCAGTCAATTGAGCGTAGATGATTAACCTCTGACCCTTAAAGATGACAGTTGGTTCTGGGGAAAGTATTTTAACAGACAGACCAGGAGGCAAATCCCAGCTCACAGAGACGTCCCCTACCACGGGCTGCAGAGAATGTTTCAGGGTCCTAAGAGCCTAATGGAAGAAATGGAACAGAACGAGCAGAAACAATGAGAGCTACTGTTCACTGAGTGCGTATCACGTAGAAGGTGCTATGCTGTGTAACACACGGCATGCCTTCTTCTTAATGCTGTACTAGGAGACGGGCATTATTTCTCTTGCTTTACTTATAAAGCTGAAAGATTTAATAACATCAATGTGAATGAAGAAAATGTTTGAGAGACAAGGCCCCTGGAGAAGGGCATTAGACAAGAGACAGCATCAAGTGGAAAACAGGAGCTCTGAAATTTAACCAGATGTCTTCTCCTCGTGCAGACTGATCAAATGGAATCGCCAATTTACCACTTCTTCCAATCTCTTAGACATATCACAGTTGTTCCTTCTCTTCTTTGTACCCTTGCATGGAGGACGGATATAGTACCTCTTTCGATCCTAAAGTGCAGACCTAGGACCACAATCATGACAGCCAAAGCTCTTAGTTTCTGTCTCTGGTCTTCAATACACAGGCCCCAATCTCTTTCGGCATCTCTTTCCTGGGCTTTCAGCTACATATAGACCAGATACCATTTCTGCAGATGGTACAGGGGCCCCCTTTACATGAGGCCAAAAGTACCCACAGTAGGTACATAGTGCAAGGCCTTGGGGATACAAAAAGGCATCCCAGAGGCAAGCTGCTGCCCCTTGGCCTTGTGCAGTTGCCCCTCCCTGTTCCACATGTTGTCTGGAGTGT